ATGTTCACAGTCACTAGAGGCGCAGCATTCTTTGTTCATCGCATATGGCCTATAAACACAAAATGATGACGTTTGTTATTAAATTGTTTACAAACAGCACCATTTTAGCAACCAAACAACCGGATCAGCATATCCATGTGGTGTGATTAATTACTCACCCCTGTGGAACGTTAAATTGTTCCTCTTAAATATGTGGCTGATGAAATGGAGATGCTGGAGGGATCACAGCTTCGTAGACTGGCCTTTGCGATTGATGACTCCGTTCAAGCAGCTGATGCAATTACATCGCTTACTTCACATCATACCCTCAAACTGGCATGCGTAGTTTGCAAGCGGGCTGCCAGTCCCACTATCTGTTGTTCTGATGAACCATGGGCAAAAATGCCATCTACCTAGCGCTTCTACGACGGCGTTTGATCAATTTCGTGGTATGTACCTTGTATTCTATCTAACCCATTCAAGGGGCTATTGTCGCATGGACCGGCGTTAAGAGGCGGTTGTTTACAATCTCTTGAATACGTATGCCACAGAATGGACAAAATTCGCTAATCATAGCCGGTGAAGTACATGCTTTGTTGAAAACACATGCCATTACCCTCAATTTAGACTGAAGATGAAACACGTTAGAATAGAATAGTGAGCACAGTGTGCGTTTTTTGATGAGGAATACCATATTCATCTCGGGATGCTGAACAGATTCGTTAAGTTGGAGTATGACGGGAAAAACAGTTCGCTATTAACAGCCATAAACTCATTCATCATTCTAGCACCCCAGTATGTAGTGAGTATTCCCCGGTCTAAAGGCCGTAACATCTTCATGTACTATCGTCAGTGACCTTTGTGGTTCAGTATGCCTCAACTCCTGCTTTGGTGACAGCTACTTCCAAAACTCATTTGCTCAGCCTATGCTTAACAAAGCCGGACATGCAGCCATTCTACAAGTGCTTAAAGTAAACGTTGAGGCCGTACGAATGAATAACTGCTCAGCTTCAACTTATGAATGGCTAGCTTTCTTAAGATTTGTCCTCTAAATCCACGGTTCAGATGATCACAGCACCGAACCGACAAACCGAACCAACTAACTGAAAACATTGATTGAAATGTCGCGCTATTATCGATGCATCAGACAACCGGCGCACAACGAACGAATTGATCCAGCATAGTGACCCACTTCTGGTACTAGTGTCGAGCGTTTTTAATTGACAAGGACGATATATAAATATCACTACCAGTGATCATCCAGCATAAAGATGAGACTTCTATTATTGCCCGTCTCGCTGCTTTGCTGGTCGCTGGTCGCGGCCGTGCCTATTCGATCAAAATATGCTTTGGAATACGAGCTGAGTCCCTCTCCAAAATTGGAGAAGCGGTTAGAGACGGAAAAAGAGTCCCTGGTTCACTTAAAAGAAGCCAGTAAAATCGACACTGATACCGAGAAGCGTGAACACCAATTTATCAATTACGATCATTTTGATGAGGATGATGACTTCTACGGTAAAGACGAGAGTTATGAGAATCCGTGGACCAAGCATGAACAAACCCATCCGAAGGTAGAAAAGCTTGGCCAAAGTCAGTATCAGAAAAAGCAAGCTGTCCGCTACGAGAAACGAGTAGACAAGCAAAGGGAGCTTAGTCAGGAAGTGAAGCATGTGCCCAAGTTCATCAAAATGGTAGCCCATGAAAGATACGCAGAGGATGACCAGTACAAATACAAATCAACTCCCTTGGAACGCGGTTATCGCAATGACAAATTTGAAGAAAAGAGTGACAAATACATGGATGGGTTCTATGGATATGACGATCACGGCGAAAGAAAACAGGATAAATTCGACCAATACGGGCTTGAAATATATCAGCCGAAATATGGTAAGGTTAAAGAAAACTACGAAGACGAGTATGGGAAATACGAGCGCGAGTATGGCGACAAACACGGTGATTTCTATGACAAATATGAATTCGACTACGATGATAAGTACGGAAAACTTGACGACGATTATGACGAGAAACAGTCCAAACACATAAATCCATATACTAAAAAGGGTGGCAAGTATGACAGAGTCTACGACAAATACGGTGATGAATACGACAGTGCGTACGATGATGAATATGGAAGGAAGCACAGCAGATCGCTTGGTAAATACTGGGGTAGTGAAGATATAGGTTATTTTAACCCCCATAAAGAGTACGAAGATAATCACAAGAACAGATATATCCGGTCCTATGGTAAATATGGTGGCAAGTATGACAAGTTAAATGACGGATATGGAGGTAGATATGAGAACAAATACGAAGAGGGGGAGAAGGATGGTTATGATCAATCATATACCAAGTCGGATATTGAGTACGGTAAGCCGTACGCATATGACGACAGCAGGTACAGTGAAGAATTTGGAAAGTATGCTAACGACAGTGAGGATACCTACGAGGACGAGGAACAGGATGACAGCAAATATGGCAAGAGTGTTGACAAATATGATGAAAAGTTCGATAACAACTATGGCGCATATGAAAATAGTCACTCGGAGAATTATGAAGAAGACAAATCAATTGGTAAATACAACTATTATGATAAATACAGCCAACCGAAGAGAAGATGGGGCCATAGTTATGCCGGGTATTAGATGGTTTATCCGGCTGGCAAGTGACATTGGCCCTGCTACATATTTGATCTATTCTACCACTTGTGATATCAAAGAATTTAACCTCCTTATTATTTTTCTTCATCCAGCTGTGGGTGGGATTTAGCCTTCGCGCTTGCAGTGGACACACTGATTTGCAAGACTGCTACAAAACGTCCGACCGCATCGTGGTTCATGGGCGCTATCAAAAAGGACCATTGGTATAGTTGTTTTTACTGCTGGGGCTAACAGGGATAACAAACACTAATTCTGCAACATAAGGTGCTCTGCAGTAGCTTCGTTCCGCTTTCGCATCAATTTGCAGCGACTGAATAGACCGGCAAACAATTTCGTTAATGAAAGCACACCAACTCTATGCTCATCCTACGCTTAATGAGGCCACCTGCACGGCAACTGATTGTCTTAATGATACAACAGGGAAAGCGAAACATGAACAACGATTTATTACGGGGAAAAAAGCAGTTGCTTGACAAGCCCCGTATGATGGTTGGAGGGGAAACTAAAAAAATTAGTTTAAGCGTTCACAATATAACTGCACTGCTGCACAACGATAGCTTGAAATGAGAATTTAATGTGTATGCACAAAGCAATACGGGGAGTGGTTATAGTTCACATGATACTGCAAAAATAAAATGCGCAGATGATAACGCTCACTCGTGTGCAGGTTTACTGAGATCACAGGATACCTAAGTCCAGTTTTCACATTAACAACGTTTGATAAAGGATAAGCAGAAAGTGAAAATGTGCACCTTGATTTATAGTGTTGTGTTTGCATCCGGACATAGGGGGCTATATGGGGTGATGTTAAGGTATGAGTGCCTCCTCGAGACGTTTTTTGAATACCGTCAGTGTGGCGGAAGAAATAAGGTAAGTGGGGAGGACGTCCCGTGTTTGGCACACACAAACTGAAAGTCCGGCGTCATTCCAGCCGGCTATACTTTGTGGTCAAATTCAGCTGGTTACTCCTCAGGCTGGTCTTCTCATTCAGCTTCAGAAGGTGATTACAAACATGGTTTGAATTCCTCAAGATTAAGTAGGTCATTATCAAATCGCCACGCAGGCGTCGATATTGTCCACTATAGATCCCAAGGGTTATCAAGCACAGTTGGTGAGATGAAACAAACTGCGTTCTTGGTTGCCCTTTGTTGTGTCAGTTCAAGTGCAGCGAAGTCGTGCTTGTGCCAGTGCTACCAGAAGTGAATAACGTAATCTGCATAAGGCCTACTGTAAGCATTGAGTATCGGAGAGAAGATTGCACGGTCAAACCCCCCGAGTGCTCTCCGCAAAACGCCAGTGTTATCTTTTTCGGATGTCTTCTCGACCTGAGGTGAATAGCCAAGATCCTCTTGTGCTATCACACCTAGATCGCATTCAGTAGTAGAACGCTGCGAAGTTTGGTCCCTCAGCATGTACTCGTAAGTGGATTGACAGCTTATTCTCAATCCTTATACTTCGGGGCGTTGCAGAGAAGCATGTTCTGAGTCGCTTGTCTCTATACCCTAGCAAGGTCATCCTGAAGCGCTACATGGTCACTCGCTGTTTTGAAGGCCCGCCATATCTTGAGCTCATCAGCGAAGAGTAAGCAATTTGAAGTGCTCATTCTTGCAAGATCAACTATGTAAATCAGGAGCAGGCGTGGACCAAGTACTGAGTCCTTGTAGCACTCCGCACTGAACAACGATAGAGTCAGAGATGGCACTGCGTACTCTCACATGCATATGTTATTGAATCAGAAAGTTACCCATCCATACGAGAATCGGGTTGCCGATTTCACAACTCCGAAACTATTAAATGTGGATGTAGTGGTTCAGACGGTCGAACACATTTGAGAAGTCCAGATAGACTGCGTCAAGTCCCACACTGCTGTTGAATAGTTTTGTCATACTGAAGCGAGCAACTGGTGCAAGACCGGTTTTGGTGGAATCCATGCTGTTCTGGTTCTATTGTTTTGCATCCTTCCAAGTAATTTATGAACGCCTCCGCAATACTAGACTCCGGGCGACAGCTGGCCGGATCTGCGCAATTTCGGCCCTTGTGGATCAGAGTGACGGTTCGGTGCTTTTACAATCATGGAACCCACACCTCGCCGAGACATCGTCAGATGAACTGGGATAGTGGGTCTGCCAAATTAAATGCAGCGGATGTCAGCGCCTTTGGTCGGGGATTATCAGTACCAGTTATGTGCGAGTACAGAATTTGGCCTTTTCAAAACATCTGTAGTCGTAAATAAGATATGAGTAATTCTTGGTGGTGATATAACTTACGTGAACATCATAGGTAACGAGGTAGTGTTCTGGAACTTTGCGGAGAATCGAGAACGTAGAACTTTGACCGGTTCTGTTGTCCTTTGTGCTGGTCCACTTGGCATGTGGAGGGCAGGAATCACGCGCTGCACTTTACGGAGTTTGTTAATATATTAGTAAAGAAGCTTAGTGGTTAAGGAGAATTTATCAACTAGATCTTGTTGCTACTTTAGCTTATCTTTGCGCACCAGGTTCACGCAATGATTTTGCTGGATGGTGTATGCTTCCCATGTTTCGGCACCCGGTGACACATTGCATTTTGCTAGAGTGAATCGCTTGTGACCCATACTAGTACCAAGATTACGTGAATTTCACTTTGCTAACGAGCAGTTCACGAATGCGCTGTCTGCACTCTATCTAGGCTCCATTCCAACTGCTTTGATATATGCAGTTTGGTATGAAACGCCTGCGTAAGTTGCTTCCTCATAGAATCATTCGGGTTAAAGGAGGAATTTTCTCAAATACCATCAGGTCATTCCGGCTGTTGAACTCCATCCTTCGTTGTCCAATATTCACACTTATTGATTAGGCATTGTTGTAGGAGAGTTAAGGTGCTCTCCTGTAGGCCCACTGTTTGAGAGCTAAACCTCTTCACAGAAGTTTACTACATCCTTTTTACTATCGTTGTATATAATGACGCGCTCAGCTGCAGTAGTACATTCTCAAGGTGAAATTGAGCTCAATCAACTGAGGCGACCTTTCGGATTCAAACCCGTTATATACGTGGCTGATTCTTCCAGTGCATTCCTTTGGTCAGTCAGACAACTTTGTATCTGGTTTAGTAAAACACGTCAGTACCGCGAGGCATTACTGAATGTTTTCTGCAGCCCACTGAGTAAAGCCAACTTGTGTACTAAGCAATTTTAAATAATAAAGCCCGGCTGAATAGTGTGCGCGATTCCGCTAAACGGGGCAATGGGTTAGATGATAGAATGAATACTCATCAAAGCACGGGTACCGTTATCAATCGAACGGCTGGGTTTGTGCACACTGATATTTTACAATCACTCCTACCGACGTGGTGTAAACCAGCCTATCTGAGCAACTCACCTAGAAAGAGGTTGTTGATAGTGTGGCCGAAATTCACGTCAAATATCTCGACATTACGATGATCTTAACTCCAGAATCAGAGTCTCCTTCGTCACAATGTCCAAGGCATTCGATCGCAGTATCATTTCCTCGGACGGCAAAATACTCCCTTCATCTGCAGCCGCTGTTAAGCTTCCGAAGTCAGTGGTGTGAGCAATTTCAGGCAGAATTCTGTGTGCCACAATCTTCGATTCTGCAACCGCTCACACACGTATTCACAAACCACATTGGGTGCATGACCGATCAAAATTTATTATCGTTAAATACTGCACCATGTTTTGATACGCAGATAAATCTTGTATTCCTCCTATTAGTCCTGAGCACTGCTTAGAAAGCTGCGCTTTAACGTTTCCAAGCATGTAGTTGGCTGTGTGCAAATAAATAAATGAATGATATTTTTCCCAAAAGTGAGAGACAAAAACAGATCACGTGGTCTGATTATTCGGCACAGCGTCATCGGATGGTGGGGAGAGTTTTCATGTCTCGCAATGTAGTTCCGAAGGGTGCTTTCGGGATCGTATGTCAGTTAAAATTAATAGCAAGTAGGATTGGCTGAGAGTAGAAAGAAATGTATGTATATTTCTCAGTTTCAATAAAGTAATGCGACCATCCGTGTAACCGCTTCCTAGGAGCTTGCGTCATTGCTGAATGGTCCCTCGAAAGATTTCCTCTGCACTTCACGCTTCATCTGGTCATGTGCTGAAGTGGCTTAGAGCAAGTAAGCCGTCATCATATTGTCGCATTTTTATGGCCATTATTATAAGCAGGTAGGCCGCCATCTCGTTGAATCATTTTTAGGGTCGCCGTTACTTGTCAAACAGTGTACATGCTCTTTGAAACCATGTCCTACGGGAACTCAATCCACAGAGCAGTATCATCATGCTGGTTGATGATGAGCCCGGCTCCTCGAAGCGATCTAAGGTGTCCTAACTCAGAGATGAACACGTTCATCAGTCGAGGAAAGCACTGTAGTGATTTAGTTCCTTTAGCCTATCGTAGATTCCAAACACGTACATGAATCTTCATGCGGTAGCCGTCATACACACCCGACTGTTCTATCAGAAACACGACAGTACTGTACTTGATATTCCATAATAACGAGTGTGTTAGGATGCCTAGTGCCTCTCCCATTTCTCAAGCTAACTTGTAATGTATGCCCACCGCTTGCAACGGACAGATTCGGCATTTTTGCGGTGATGCGACAAGCATGAAGTAGATCCTCGGGAGGTGCAATCACACCTACTACCACCTTATGAAGCCCAGCTATTGCCACAAGGTTTGCAGTCACGAGATGAGGATGGTTACTCTGCATGACCAATTGGCTATGCACTCGAGCGTTTCTATTTCCCAGAGTGTTTTCACATGAACTTTCCCTACAATTACATTATGTATGCTTCAGTTCTTCACGTATATTGACACCGGCTGGCGGAATACAGCTCCTGTTCCTCTGGAGATGATATAACATGAATAAATGGTACGCTCATCAGAATCTACAATTAGGAATTTTTACATCCGTGTTCACAAGAACATCGTGTAAGTCCGAAGAAATGCATATTGCATTGCACACTTGACCTTTGATTCGATGCTCATCTTAACCACCCTACAGGACTTGTCAAATCTCAATGTTTTGCCGGTAAGCAATCAACCCATTGCACCGTCTAACATCGCGCACTTCGCTAAGGTTTCCATAGCTACTGTATGGAAGGTCGCAGGTATGAGATCGAAGGGTGCTGCTGACCTTCCTTCTTCATCAATGCTTGGCCGGTTTTTATTACCAACCATGAATGACAGGTAGTATTAGGAACATATTTAGGTAGGTAGTGTGGAAACGAACTCCGGGTAGCGGTATTATTAACCCGTTACCACTCAGCTGCTTTGTCGTACAGTAGCGCAAAGCGGCTATAAATTTGACAATGTCGGCTCTGCACTCGCACCAGAGGATGTGCGTGTTGCTGAGAGCGCTGTACCATAAAGTAAGATGCAGGCGCCGTTGTGTTTAAGCTTTGCGCAACTATTAGGTTGTAGTAGAATAAAGATTGGCAGAGTTCGAAGAAATAACA